AAGAGCAAAACTCTGTCTCAAAAAAAAAAAAAAAAAGACTTGTAAACATCATTTTAGAAAATGATTTCCTCGCCTCAGAGAACTTTTTCAGTTAATTGACCAACTACTGGTCTCAGCTACTTTGGATAAGGAACTTCTACTAGCTTATCCACTCAATGGAGGAGGAGACTCAAGACCAAAATAGTGAATAATGTATCTCAGGGGAGATAGCAAAGCCCAGCCTAGTTCCCAGCTTCTGATGTAGAGTCACAGAACTGTAGGAATTTAGAATTGAGAGGGACCTTGGAAATTATGCAGAATGATAGATTCCAAGCCAGGTTCATGGAGCATTAAGGTTTCCAGCAGGTACCCTACAGGCTGCTAAGGAGGCAGGGCTCTGTGCCTGTCACTTAGCCAAAGCAGCTCTGATTTTATGTTTTATATATTGGAATTCTGATATTTATTCTTTCTTTTTTTTTTTTAAAGATAGAGTCTTGCTCAGCTGGGTGTGGTGGCTCACACCTGTAATCCCAGCACTTTGGGAGCCAAGGCAGGCAGATCACAAAGTCAGGAGTTCGAGAGTAGCCTGGCCAACATGGTGAAGCCCTGTCTCTACTAAAAAAATACAAAAATTAGCACAGTGGCACGCACCTGTAATCCCAGCTACTAGGGAGGTTGAGGCAGGAGAATGGCTTGAACCTGTGAGGCGGAGGTTGAAGTGAGCTGAGGTCACACCACTGCACTCCAGCCTGGGTGACAGAGCCAGACTCAGTCTCAAAAAAAAAAAGAGATAAGGTCTTGCTCTGTCACCCAGGCTGGAGTGCAGTGGCATGATCATGGCTCACTACACCCTCAACCTCTGGGGCTCCTGCGATCCTCCCACCTCAGCCTCCTGAATAGCTGGGACTACAGGCACCTGCCATCACACCTGGCTAATTTTTGAAGTTTTTGTAGAGTCAAGTTTTTGCCATGTTGCCCAGGCTGGTCTTGAACTCCTGGGCTCAAGCGATTCTCCCACCTAAGCCTCCCAAAGTACTGGGATTACTGGCATGAGCCACCACACCCATCCAATTTTTTTTTTTTAAGTTCTTTTTGGGGGGAAAAAAGCCTATAAGCCACTCACTTAGTCTAACCCCTGCCTTATATAGAGAAGAAACTGAGGCAGGGTCTAAGCATAGATTCTCCTGAACCCCAGTACGACGCTCTTCCTGCCCACTGCCCCTCCCATCACCCCACATACTGTTTCTGCCAGACCTTGTGAGGGAAAAGGGGGCTTTTGTGTGGTCTGGGGATGGAAGGCTTTCTGGGTACAGAGAGCCCTTCTGTGGGTTCACAGTCCAGGGCCAGAGTCCTCCCCCACCCCGCATGTCACTTCTGGTCTGTGTCAAGCAAGGTGGGGGAGAGTACAGAAAGGGAAAAGACAGAGGATGCACATGATACACATCCCAGAGGTCGAAGGGGGCATCGGTGGAGGAGCAGTGCCTCAGGCACCCACCCTGATTTTGTCATTCTCCGTCTTATCCTCCAAATCCTCATCAAATTCCTTCTGTGGGTAGAATTCAATGCCATTTACTTCAAGCTCCTTGCGAACCTGGAGGCGGGGAGAAGAAGCAAGGTAGCCAAGTGTCAGGATAATGGAAAACAGGGTTGTGTGCACCTCTGTGTGTGAGCTGAGGTTAGAGAGCCGAATCCAGCCTTGGATAATCCAGTCATCTCTGAACTCTGAGACCTTGAGCAGCAGTAAGATTGTGAATAAATGCAAGCACCAGTGACACAATTACAGCTTAGCCTGAGAGGAGGAAGAGGCCAGGAGGTGCAACTTCAGGTCCCAGGTGCCTCGCAACCAGCTTGCTCATCTCGAGTCCACAAGACTGGGATTTGCACAAGCAGCCCAGCTGAGCCCACTGGGGAGTGCTCAGACCCCTGCATGTTATATTCCTGATTGCAAGGAAGAAAGGTGAGTCTCCCCCTACTCCAAGACTCTCTGTTTGCCCTCTTTCAAGGTTGACTTAAGTCTTGCCTTCTCCAGGAAACCATCCAGGACCTCTTCATTTCATTGTTCTATTTGATTGTAAGTTTCCTTTTTTTTTTTTTTTTTTTTTTTTTTTTTGAGATGGAGTCTCCCTCTATCCCCCAGGCTGGAGTGCAGTGGTGCGATCTCAGCTCACTACAACTTCCACCTCCTGGGTTCCAGCAATTCTCCTGCCTCAGTATCCCAAGTAGCTGAAATTACAGGCGCCCACCACCACACCCAGCTAATTTTTTGTGTTTTAGTAGAGATGGAGTTTCACCATGTTGGCCAGGCTGGTCTCGAATTCCTGACCTCAGGTGATCCACCCGCCTCAGCCTCCCAAAGTGCTGGGATTACATGTGTGAGCCACCGAGCCCGGCAGGTTGTAAATTTGTTAAAGATAGCAATTGTCTTTTCATTTCTCTCAAATTCCACCTCCTCAACCTCATATATCCAGCACAGGGCTGAGCTTTTGGAAGATGCCAGTGAGGACTAGTGGCCAGTTGACTCACTAATTAGTCTAGTCCTTCAAGTAGGGTAACATTTGAGGAGTGATTTCTGATGTTCACAGTGATACATGCATTCAGTGGTCTTCACAGGTACGTTTGGAGGGCAGGAGGAAGGCACTCGGAGCTGCACCATCTATTCTTCAACAAAGTCCCCGGATACCACCAACCTCAGCCTCTTGAATGGTTAAGTGGGGGCTGGGGTAGAGAACGGGGAGGGTTGACAGTAAGGGTGAAGGCAGAATGATGAGGGCTAGGAGGTGGACTGAACCCAGAAGAGAGAAAGGAAGGGATGGGGGCAGGAAAAGAAGACAGGGGGCCTTCTCACCCTTTGCTTGAATTCAGACTTCTCCTCCAGGGTCATGGTGTCAGCCTTAGCGATGACAGGAATGATGTTCACAACCTTGCTGAGGTGTTTCATGAATTCAAGATCCAGAGGTCGCAAGCTGGGGCCCAGAAAAAGCAGGATTGTCAGAACCACCTTGTCCTCCCCAACTCACCCACTGCCACCACTCCAGGGCACCCTCGGGAGAAGAGGACTGGGCTGGGCACCTGGCTGAGGCCAAGAGGCTGCTCTCTGCTCTCCCATACAGCCCCACTGCCTTGCTGTCTGCAGAGCCGCCTCACCACCTGCCTTTTTCTTCTCCAGTTCCCATGCAGACCCTGCCTCTCTTTAAGCCCCTCAAACCACCCCTTCATGACATCTTTTCTGACTTAGGGATTTCTTTCTCCTGGGAGTATCTGTGGACTGTTGTCTCTACTCATATGTCCTTGCACATGTGTGTCTTTTTTCCTTTTTTGTCTCAAAAAAAACAACAACAAAATGACATTTGTCTGTGCATGTGTGTGCATGTGTGTGTGTATGTGTTTTCTTTTGAGACACAGTCTTGCTTTGTCACCCAGGCTGGAGTGCCGTGGTATGATCATTGGCTCACTGTTGTCTCAACCTCCAGGACTCAAGCGATCCTCCCACCTCAGCCTCCAGAGGAGCTCAGACTACAGGCACACACCACCATGTCTGGCTAATTTTTTAATTTTTGTAGAGACAGTCTTGCCACGTTGCCTAGGCTAGGCTTGAACTCCTGGGCTCAAGCGATCTTTCTGCCTTGGCTTCTCAAAGTGCTAGGATTACAGGCAAGAGCCGCCGCACCCAGTGTGTACGTCTTGTTCTGCCTGTCGGACAGTACTTCTTGATGGGTCTCCTCCCAGCCCCCAGAGTTAGTCCTGAATGGTCAAGTTGGGGCCCTTGCCCTCCCTACAGTCTGATAGGCTATGCCCCCATCCTGCCTCAGGCTCTGAGACCCCAACTTGGCTCATTTTGCAATCTGGGGGACTCATTAAGTCAGGCTATGTGATGGTTCATTCTGACCGAGGGTCGAAGCCTCAGGAGGGATAAAGCCAGCGTCCCGTTGAGTTCCTGGGCCTGGTCCAGAGGTCTTGTTTCATCTCTCTCCTACCCCCACCACCACTGCCTGCTTCCTACAAAATTTGGGGCCTACCTTGCTTGTGCCATCCTCTGAAGAACTTAACCCTGGGCTGAGTAATGTTATGAGGCCCCCTCCCCCCATCTCTGTAGGAAGGTTGCTGGCTTACCCCCTGCGATGTCCATTCTCTGCCTGTTTGCAGCACTTCCTTCATGGGGCCTACCTGTCACTTACAATCAGAGTTCTCAGCACACTTGTGTGTGTCTTATTCTGACTATCAGACAGTACTTCATGACAACGGTTGGCCTTTATCTCTGGACACACAATGCCTCACTCCAGGCTGGCACCTTCCAAATGCCTACAGCTGGGTCCCATACCCCTGGAAACACCAGCCCCAATCCAGAAGCCCTGCCCTGCCCTATTTCACCCTTCTTGCTGCTCCCCCCAACTCCAGTCCAAAGCAGGTATTTGGTGAATAAACGATGTGCCTTCTTCTCACATATACCAACTCCTCTCTCTGGTACAGTCGTGCCTTGCTGCTGGGACACCAGTGGGCAGATATTGGTGGCTGATGGCTGATGTTGGACAGCCTGTGTGTGTGTGTGTGTGTGTGTGTGTGTGTGTGTGTTTCTCCTAGCAAGAAAGTCAGACCTCCTCATGGAAAGTCTGAGGAACCCCAAGGTCACAGGCCACAACAATATTCCAGCCCACCTGGCCCTCCCTAGCTGAGTCAAGGTATGGATCATCCAATCCAGAATGGGCACAGATGATGCAAACCAGACCAGGCCTGGCAATAGGGGTGGGGTTGGTACATACGAGTGTCCTGTGGGGGAGATGAAGTAAAGGCAGCAGTGGACGCGAGTGTCAGGGATGCGTTTCTTCCTGGCAATATTCACCTCCTCCTTCAGGAACTTCTCATACTGCTCATTGATGTACTTCTCAATGGGCTCCCAGCTGAGGGTGGGAAAAAGTAGACGGATGTGTCAGAAGAACAAGACTAGGGCTCAGCGTAGGCATGGTCCAGTAGCAATCTCCTTCCATCCATCTCATTCCCTGGTGGGCCTAGGATATCTGCTGCTGGATTTCCCCTCAGCCCCCATATGGATGGCTTTCCTAAATGGTTAGTTAGCAGGGGCAGAGCTCCCCAGGAACTGCAGAGCATGGAGGGTGCAGATAGTTCTCAACGTGAATGAATCTGCACCATAGTATCTTCCCAGCAGTCTTTAGGGCAAAGATCTCAGGGGCAGACAGATACCAGTTTTCATTGTTGATTTGGTCTCCAAAGCCTGGGGTATCGATGACGGTCAGCTTCATTTTGACACCACCTTCCTCTATCACTGGGGGTGAAAAGAAAATGTACCAGAGAGGTCATTCCTACAGCTGACCCTTGGTACCTGGCAGCCTACTAGCTAGGGAGACCCAGGCCTGTTCTTCAGGATCAGTTATTGGAAAAATCAAATTTAGGGCCTTTTCTATCTCAATAGCATGGCTCATGTTGTTCCCTGTACCTGGAATCTGGAATACCCTCTCTCTGCAGTGGTATAATCGTAGCTCACTGTAGCCTCAAACTCCCAGCCTCAAGCAATCCCCTCCTTTCAGCCTCCCCAATAGCTAGGACTACAGGTGTGCACCATCATACCCAGCTATTTCTTTTTTACGAGACAGGGTTTCGGCCTGGCACGGTGGCTCATGCCTGTAATCCCAGCACTTTGGGAGGCTGAGGTGGGCGATCACAAGGTCAGGAGTTCGAGACCAGTCTGGCCTATATGGTGAAACTCCATCTCTAGTAAAAAAACAAAATTAGCTGGGCATGGTGGTGCATGCCTGTAGTCCCAGTTACTCGGGAGGCTGAGGCAGAAGAATCACTTGAACCTGGGAGGCAGAAGTTGCAGTAAGCCAAGAACACACCACTGTACTCCAGCCTGGGCGACAGAGCAAGACTCCATCTCAAAATAAATAAAAAAATAAAAGAGACAGTGTTTCACTGTGTTGACCAAAATGGCCTCAAACTCCCTGCCTCAAGCAATCCTCCTACTTTGGCCTCCTGAAGTGCTGGCTCACAGGCATGAGCCACTGCACCCACCCTCTTACCTCTTTCTACCTGTCTAAATTCTACTGGGCTTTATCATCCAGCTCAAGGCCCACCTCCTTCCATTCTAGCTCCCTGCTCTCTCTTCCCTGAACCAGCAGTCTAAGGAGTTTACTTCAGAGTGAATGCTCAAGTCTATTCTTCTTAAGGTTGCCTTTCATTGGTCCTACTCCTCAATAAACCCCATTCTTTCCCCTTTGCAGCAGAGGCACTCACTGAACAAAGCCCATAGGGGTCCCTGCCTGGTCCTCACCATGCCCGATAGCTTTGATCTCCACCGTCTTGGGGATCTTCTCCTCCCGGTTCCAGCTGGAGGCCTTGCGGCTCACTTGGGATTTGAAGAGCGTGTTGACCAGTGTTGATTTGCCCAGTCCACTCTGGCCTACAGCAAAGCAGAAAGAGAAGAAGATAGGGAGACTCTGCATCCACCTTCTGAGCCTAATACCTCCCCATAAGCTTACAGAATTCTAGAGCCACCATCCAGGCCAACACCTTGTCTGACCACTCACCGGGGGATGGCCAGGGTGAGTGGGGAGGGCAGGCAGGTGGGAATGAGTTCCTGCTTACTGCAGAGAGCCTTGGGGAAACATCAACTGGATTCCATATTCTATCCTTCCCAGAGCCTGAGGACCTCTGGGAAAGAAGACAACCTCTGCCTATGTGTAGTGCCATGGTTTTCTGTTTTGGTGTGATTCAGTTTTTTGCTTAGGTTTTCACTTTGTTTTTGTTTTGTAGAATGAAGAGTGGATATAGAGCCAAGACATTCTCTGGGTTAAATTTCCTGGTCTTGCATTTATTAGTTATGTTGCTCTGCACATATTTCATTAGAAGACGATTCATCTCTCTGGGACCATTTCGACTGAGGATAAAGATAGTTCTGCTCCAGGATCCACAGGGCTGATATAAAGATGAATTTGGCTAACAAATGTGAATGTGTAATATTCACTGTGAGGCAGTATCAGGATACAAAGTAATTCTATTAATTCTATTTATCCTTTTCGTATCATTAAAATGTGAAAACCTAGGCCTGGCTAGGTTTTCCGTACCAACAACCATGATGTTGAAGTCGAACCCGGTCTTCATGGTCTTCTTCCGCATCTGCTCGATGATGGTGTCGATGCCAATGTAGCCCAGCAGGTTGGAGTTGATGCTCATGGGCTTCATAGGCACTGCTGGCTTAGGCCTGGGCTCAGGCACCAGCTCTGACATGGCTGTGTCCGTCCTGGTCTCTGGGAGCCCTGCAGAGACAGGTGAGAGGGGTCGGAAGGGTGACAGGAGGACAGCAGAGGTCACATGGAAGTCATGGTATTTTTCTCTTGCTACAGAATCATACAAAGCTGGGCCTTAATGGAAGGGATCTTAATGTTATCCAGTCCAGGTCCCTCATTTCATAGACGAAGAGACTGAGGCCTGGAGGAGAAAGAACTCACCTAAGAACATAGAGCAGGTCAGAGGCAAAATCTGGGCCAGTGCCAGGTTCTCTGGTTACTGGGCACTTTTTTTTTGAGATATAGTTTTGCTCTTGTTGCCCAGGCTGGAGTGCAGTGGCACAATCTCAGCTCACTGCAACATCTGCCTCCCGGGTTCAAGTGATTCTCCTGTCTCAGCCTCCCAAGTAGCTGGGATTATAGGTGCCCACCACCATACCTGGCTAATTTTTTGTATTTTTAGTAGAGACACGGTTTCACCATGTTGGCCAGGTTGCTCTCAACTTCTGACCTCAGGTGATCTACCCGCCTCAGCCTCTCAAAGTGCAGGGATTACAGGCGTGAGCCACCGCGCCTGGCCTGATGAGCACTTTCAAATGCACCTCATTGCTCCAAAGCCCACATCCCTGTGTCTAGCCCAGGGGCTTCTCCATCTTGGCACTAATGACGTTTGAGTAATTCTTTATTATGGGAGGCTGACACGTGCATTACAGGATAATTAGTGTCATCCGTGACCTTAGTAGCCCCCAGCTTGTGACAACCCAAAATGTCTCTAGACAGTACCAAATGTCCCCTGGGAGGCACCATTGCCCTGCCTGAGAACCACTGGTCTAAGAAGTATCTGGGGTTATTCGGACCTGAGTCGTGCCTCCCTCCTTGAATAAAGGGCAAAGACTTTTTAGGATCCTGCACTAACATCTACTGACTGTCACTGACCTTGGCTGCTTTATCTTTCAGAAGCAAACAGGGAGGCCGGGTGTGGTGGCTCACGCCTGTAATCCCAGCACTTTGGGAGGCTGAGGCGGGTGGATCATCTGAGGCCAGGAGTTCAAGATCAGCCTGGCCAACATGGTGAAATCCAGTCTCTACTAAAAATAATAAAAATTAGCTGGGTGTGATGGCAGGTGCCTGTAATCCCAGCGACTCAGGAGGCCGAGGCAGATGAATCGCTTGAACACAGGAGGCAGAGGTTGCAGTGAGCCGAGATCGAGCCATTGCACTCCAGCCTGGGCAACAAGAGGGGAACTCTGTCTCAAAAAAAAAAAAAAAGCAGCAGCAGCAAGCAGGTCTACCCTTCTCTGAAGAATGACCATCACTCCTGTCTCTTAGCCTCGGTGTCCCCTCTGTGCCATGAGCACCACTGCAGAGTAGAGGTGTCTGTACCTGGAAGAGCCCCAGATACCCTCCCAGTTATTGTTCTGAATCTGTGGGACCAGCAGGGAGGGGATGAGAACCAGATGAGGTGGTCACTTGCCTAAGACGACACAGTGTACTTTTGGAGTGGTAGATGGCAGATGAAAGGGAAGGCAGAGGAACCAGCCCCTCCCCAGTGGGGAAGGTCAACATCCCCCTGGGTCTAGTGGATCATGCGTGTGTTCACACACAGGAAAAATCTGTGGGTTTCCTTATCAGGCCACTGTCCACCAGGGTAGGTTGTAGAAAAGAGCACCTCCATTTCCCCATCTATACAATGCGGGTGTGGGGTGAAGTGGAAACAGCCTGTCTCTGCTGCTTGTTTGCTTTGTGGACTTGGGAAGACCACCTCCCCACTAAGAGCCTGCGTCCTCCTCCATAAAATGGTAGGATCATCACTAGGACTCTGGTGAGCATTTGTGAGATGTGATGCTTAGAAGCACTGACCAATGGCTGGGTGTGGTGGCTCACGCCTGTAATCCCAGCACTTTGAGAGGCCAAGGTGAGTGGATCTCCGGAGGTCGGGAGTTCAAGACCAGCCTGGCCAACACGGTGAAAACCCATCTCTACTAAAAATACAAAAAAGTAGCTGGGTGTGGTGGCAGGAGCCTGTAATCGCAGCTGCTTAGGAGGCTGAGGCAGGAGAATCACTTGAACCCGGGAGGTGGAGGCTGCAGTGAGCCGAGATCATGCCATTGCACTCCAGCCTAGGAAACAAGAGCAAAACTCTGTCTCAAAAAAAAAAAAAAAAAATTCAGCACTGCGCAATATCTTACAGTCCCAGACCCTTTTGCCCCTGTCCCTTTCAGGTCTGTAGGGGAAATGAAACAACGCATGTGGAAGCACTGGTTAAAGGGAGGTGTCCCCAGGCGCTAGTTACACAACCCTGGTTATTGGACTCCATGTACTCTTGAGGACACCTTCCAGCTCTGCCGTTCTAGAATCCTATGGTTCATGACTAACACCCTGCAGAGTCTCAACCTTACAGGGAGGCCTGATGGAGCAGCAGATGGGCGGGAGAGAGAGAGGACAGCAGTGTTCCCTTCCCAACCCTAAACCCAGTCAGGAGTCGGCTCTCATCACCCTCCACCTGGTCCTTCCACCGGTACTGGCAAGACCCTCTCTCCCGATGGAAAACTGTTCTTTCTTCTGTCATTCCCAGGCACAGCCAAATCTGCCAAAGCCTCAGGACCCCCCCAGGACTTGGCATGGCTCCCTCTTGCTTCCCAGGAAGCTGTTGCCAGCCAGGCAGCTCCAGACGGCAGCAAGATTGGCTCAGCCCTGCAGCAGCTGACTCTCAGCAGCCTGGCCCTGCTCCTGCACTCTTGCACGTGGCTCACAGGCCCCACTCAGCACACCTGCACTGGGACCAATGCCCCATTTTTCCTGCCCAGCTGCTCACACAGACTGGGCCTTTCTATTGCCCCTCATGCCTCTGCAGCTGAGCCCATTTTGTCTTAACCTGTGTTATGAGATAGAGCCACATGGTTGCGGGGGGGGGGGTGTCTTATCCCCATTTTACAGACTTGGAAAGTAAGTATTGTATTTACTTATGGGAGGTACTGTCAAGATTCTTACAAAGTGTGTGTTCTCGCCATGGCCTGCTCAGCCCTGGCCTGTCAACTGCAGCATCCTAAAACAGCACACCCAAAAGACAGACCCTGATTGAGAGAAGGTCCTACCAGAGTCCCAAGCAGTTTCTAGGGGCTACTGCAGGCTGGCTACAGGACCAGGACCTGGTAGATCACACTTTCATTTCTCAAGCAAGCATCTATAAGCACGCATTGTGTGCACTCTACAGGGCACCTGCTGGCAAGTCAGCCTCCCCACCACATGCCAATGACATGCCAGTCATGGGCTAACAAGCCACCCATCAGCCACAAGTACAGCACATGTTTGCAGGTCACTGTGCCACAAGCTTTGCTGGAAGATCCCATTCCCCCCTCCAACCCCTGGCTCATTCCTCCTCCTCTGGCATTCGGCTCCAGTGCTACTCCCAGGAAAGCCTTTGCTTTGCTATCTGATGTGGATGGCCCTTTTCTATGCCCACTGCAGGTATTCTGTTACTCCACATTTACTCATTGATTCATTCCATCCCATCCAGGCCATTTCATATGCTGTCAAATGGGGGCCTACACCAGCCAAACCCTAGGCTAAACGTCAAGGACACTTATGTACCCTAGACAAGGTTGCTGCCCTTGAGGGCCCACCATCTGGTAAGAATGCCTGACAAATAAACAAAGACCTTTGGGGGCACACAACAAATGCTGCTCTGGAGCTAGATTCTGTAGCTCCATCCTCTGCCCCTACAGCTCCTGGTACCACCATGTCCACCTCAGATGGGCAGGTAACCCTTGTGAGGCTCATTTTTCTGCTGAGAAAAGTGGGGATAGAACCTACCTTGCAGGGTTGCTGTGAAGGTTATATAGAAGCAAGGATGTGAGCTATCTGGCACAACTACGTGCTAGTTCTCACCCTTCTTTAGGGCAGGGCCATGTCTTATTGATCTCTGTGCCCCAGTCTATCTAGCATACCACTCATTCATTCATTCATTCCGATTATGAATGAATGAATGAGTGAATGAGAGCCACAGGGTGAGGCAGGTATCAGAGACCTGCCTTTCTCTTCCCTCGGATACTTCTTCCCATGCAGAGCACCTCACCTTTCTCTTCCCTCAGATGCTTCTCCTCATGCAGAGCAGCTGACCCCCAGAGAGCAATGGCTGTTGTCTCTGCCACAGTCAAGGGGGTAGAATTGTTGAGATCTCCTCCTTCCTCCGCAACAAGGATTGGAGGGGGCTCCCCAAGGGTGGGGAAAGGCTGAGGTTGGGGTCACAGCAAAGTGCAGCTCAAATCTGCCATCCTGTCGAGAGGGTCCTTGGGGCCCCCCTCAGCTCCTGGCTCTCCCAGGGCCCCTGGAGAAGGGGGATCTGCCTCCGGCACCCTCTGCCAGAAGCTACCTGCCCCATCAGTGCTCCAGGGAGAGGCACCATCCACCTGACTTAGGGCAGCCAAGCCCCCACAGAAACAGCCCCTCCATTCCCATGCTAACCAAAGACCCTGGCACTTCCTTTTACAAGCAAATGAATGGCTTTGGCTTTGTCTGGCTCGGGGACCCCACCCCTCTGTTGGGAAGGTGGTAGCTGGGGGAGGGGACCTTTCCAAAATACCACCTGCTTAGTGCAGGCCCCCTTCTTCCTTCTGCCCTGAAGGTGGATCTTCCTCAGCCCCCAGCAGCCTTCAAGACCCCACCGCCTCCCACAGAGGCAATTCCAGCCCACCCCAGCTCCAGCCCTGGGCTCTGGGAAACGGAATCACGAAAGCTCCCTGGGTCCTTTCCCATTGGCAGCAGCAGAGGGCCCTGGGACACCCCTTCCCCCATCCCAGTCCTCTGGAGGCCAATGGGTTCCCTTGGAGACCACCAGCTGGTGCCTGTCTCAGCGTGTGCCTGTGGGGGCTGGGAGGGAGGGGACGTATGTGTCAGTGCACAGGTCTCTCATCCGGCTGGCATGGCCCTGGCACCTGTGCGTGGCCTGTGTGTGTGCGTGTCCTGGTGTACTCCAGCGTGGGGCTTTCTGTGCGCATCTGGGTCCCTGCTTGCGTGTCCGTGGGTCCCTGCGTCTCCCCGCGTCCTGTGTCTGTTCTCTCCGAGACTGTCTCTCTCGAGGTGGGTGCCACCGTGTGTGCGTGTGTCCGTGCATCTGTCACCACGCGTGGGATCCTCGGCGCGGAAACCCTCCCCCGGGAGCGCCTCCGGCCGCACTGGCCCTAGCCGCAGCCCACTCCTGGCTGGTGCCGGTGGCCTTGCCGGCCGCCCTACCTTTGGACATGAATCCTCCTTTGTCTCCGTTCCTCCAAGGAGATGCTCCCGGCGCGGGGCTGCAAGGCTGAGCGGGGCGCGGGCTCCCCAGGGCCGAGCGGCCCCTGCAGCCGGGCCTCGCCCCTCCGCGCTCTCCGCCCACCCGCCCGGCCCGCGGCCCCGCCGCGCCGCCCCTGCGCCCCGCGCCGCCGCGCCCGCCCGGGACCTCGCCTCGGCTAGCTCGGCGCCGCGCCGCTCCTGTCCGCGCGCACGGTTGCCGCCGCCGCCAGCCGCCGCCGCTGCCACCCGCACCACGTGACCGCGCGCCCGCCGGCCCCGCCGAGGGCCCCTCCCCCTCCCGCACGCGGGAACGGGCCCCAGGTCCAGGCTGCGGGCGGCCCAGGAGCCGCGCACGCGGGCTCCAGGTGCCCGGCCTGGAAAGGTGCCCGCATCCCAGTCCCTTCTCTCCCGCTGGGTCGGCTCCCTGCCCCTTACCCGCTAGGCTGCGGTGGGGCGGGGCGGGGGGGCGCAGGGGACCAGTGGCAGCTGCGGGCGGCCGTGTGCGCGCGTGAGTCACGCGGGGGCTGTGGAGTGTTGCGCGGGCGCCTGTAGAGCCCTGAGTCAGGGGCCCGGGTTCCAGGCCCTTCTCCGCGATGATGAACCAATAGCCTTGAGCCAGCCAGGAACTTGCCTGAGCCTCAATTTGCCCATTAGAAAAAAATTGTATGCATTCAGTGGACACTAATGGACAGCATATTGCCAGGCCCTGGGAGCACAGGGGTGAGGACAACCATCCCTGCCCTCGAAGGTTCTGGGTCTAGTAGAGGAAACAGGAAGCTGCAAAGTCCTAATGCAATGGCTGGGGTTCACGCAGGGGAATGAGGGTGCAGGCAGATGGGCACCCTGGGGAGAGGGGGCTTGGAAGACTTCTTGGAGGAGGTGAGGGCCGGATGGAAAGGCAAATGGGAGTGGGAGGGAAGAAGGTGAGAAGGAGAGGCATTCTGCAAAGAAAGGACAGCAGAGGTAAGGTGGCCCAGGGGTGAGAGCTGCGTGGTGCTGGTGGACAGCCCACAGCCCTTGGTGTGGCTGAAGCAGAGAAAATTCCAGACAGGTATGTAGAGCTAAATAAGAGGCTGGAGAAGTCCGCACGCAGCCTTGGAAGCTGGACTTTTAAGAGAAGGTAATGGTGAGTCACTGACGAATATTAAGCTGAAAGTGCTGCCCTTCAGCATGTGAGTCCTTGCAGCAGTTGTGTGTGCACAGGGGTGGAGCCGGTGGGTGGAGGGTGGCCTCCCAGGGGCAGAAGGATGGAGAAGAGGGGACAGCCACCCAGGTACTTGAGTACTGAGGAGGTAAATCAACAAGGTGGGAAGTAGACTGGATGAGATGGCGAGAGAGATGAGGAAAAAGAGGATACCCGGGTTTGTAGGCACTGGATAGAAGGTAGGTGATGCCTATCGCTGGGAGAGTGAGATCAGGGAGGCAGGAGTCAGTTCAAGAAGAAAAGGGCTACCTCTGGACATGCCCTCGAGACAGCCGGATAGATAAACCTAGCAGGCTCCTAGCTGCCCACATTGGCACTTGAGACAGGGCTGGGCTGCAGATGGAGGGAGAGCTGAGGCCTGGTAGGGAGAAGTGAAGACTAGAGCTTAGGTGAGGTGCCCAGACTGAGTGTGCCGGATGAAGGGAAAGGGGTCTAACAATCTAAAGCCTCAATTCTGGTGTAAGACTGGATGCCTTCCAGGCACCTTTCCAGACCTAGAAACTCTGAGCCCTTGAAATGCTGGGAATGAGGCTGCCCAAAGTAGAAATTTGAACAATCTGGATTCCAATCAGCTTACTGCCACCAGCCAGCTTTGATGTGACTTTAGGCATGTCACAGGCTTTCCAAGACCAATGAATGTCTCAGCCCTTGTGTTGGCCTGTTTAGTGTTCTGTGTAGGACTTCCACATGTACAAGGCTCCGACTTACCTTTCAGGATTAAAGGGCTGGGAGTGGGGGACCAAGAAAGAGACATCCAGGTAAGGCACGTTTTAAGCAACAGATACCTTCCTAAAAGGCTGAGTGTAAACGGATTTGGAAAGTCTCAGGTGATGTCATTATCTCACATCCAGAGGAGGCTGCAGGGACTATTATTAGACAAATCACCACTTCCTAAAGTGCTAGTCAGTATTTTCACATAGGAGGTTTGCTGCTTTTTTTTGGAGACGGAGTTTTGCTCTGTTGCCCAGGCTGGAGTGCAGTGGCACAATCTTGGCTCACTGCAACCTCTGCCTCCCAGGTTCAAGCAATTCTCTGCCCCTGCCTCCGGAGTAACTGGAATTACAGGTGCCTGCCACCACGCTAGGCTAATTTTTTGTATTTTTAGTAGAGACGGGGTTTCACCATCTTGGCGGGGCGGATCTTGAACTCCTGACCTCATGATCCACCCGCCTAGGCTTCCCTAAGTGCTGGGATTACAGGCGTGAGCCTCTTCACCTGGCTGAAGGCTTGCTTTTAAAGCCGGACTCACCTACTGATCACCTGATTATTCCAGCTCTTCAGGGACCAAAGAAACAACTCCAGGAGATGCTAACAGGAGGATTCACCAATTGCTCCTCCACAAGTTATCCCTGTAAACCTTTCTTTCTCTCTCTTTTTTTTTTTTTTTTTTTTTTTTTTTTTTTTTTTTTGATGAAGTCTCGCTCTGTCGCCAGGCTGGAGTGCAGTGGCTTGATCTTGGCTCACTGTGACCACCACTTCCTGGGTTCAAGCATTTCTCCCACCTCAGCCTCCCCAGTAGCTGGGACTACAAATGCATGCCACCATGCCCTGCTAATTTTTTATTTTATTTTATCTTATTTTTTGAGACAGAGTCTCACTCTGTCACCTAGGCTGGAGTGCAGTAGCATGATCTAGGCTCACTGCAGCCTCTGCCTCCCAGGTTCAAGCGCTTCTTGTGCCTCCGTCTCCCAAGTAGCTGGAACTACAGGCATGTGCCACCACGCCTGGCTAATTTTTGTATTTTTAGTAGAGACGGGGTATCAGCATGTTGGCCAGGCTGGTCTTGAACTCCTGACCGCAAGTGACCCACCTGCCTTGGCCTCCCAAAGTGCTAGGATTACAGGCATGAGCCACTGCCCCTGGCCCTTATTTTTTATTTTTTGTAGAGACAGTCTCACCACGTTGCCCAAGCTGGTCTTGAACTCCCGTGCTCAAGCAGTCCTCCCATCTCAGCCTCCTAAAATGCTGGGATTACAGGCATGAGCCACCACACCTGGCCAAAACCTTCTGATACTTTCCCTCAGCCTGACCTCAGACTGGCAGGTTAGAACCCAGCTCAGAGTACAGCCCCACGTCCAGCCCTAAAACCTTATTTCCTTTTCTCCCAACCCATTCAACTCTGACCTTAGAGTCCTTTCTCCCTTTCCCAACTCATGCAAGCAAGATCCATCTCCAAGCTCATACACCTCCACCCCCGCCCGCAGCCTAGTCCACCCCCAACCAAATTTCTGCATTTACCTTTAGATTCTGTGGCCAGGTCCAGTGTGGCAGGCTCTGTGGCTCCATCCGTGGAAGCATTAGTGTGGTCCAGGGCTGGGTCTGTGCATCTGCTTGGCACCACCAGGCGTGTGGTAACGTCTGATATGGTCAGGTTATTAACACTGCCCAGTGTGTTCTTCCCAGTGGCTGGGTCTGGGGTTACTGGTATAACCAAACCCACAGCTGTGCCCTTCCTGCTTGGGTCCAAAGCAAGATAATTCATAGCCAAGTCCAGCTTGGTTCTGTTTGCTCTGGCCAAAGCCATGGCTGTTTCCAACCTGGTGGTGCCCACTGTCGCTGTGATTGTGTCCAGCTTGAGTGGGTCTGATGTTGCCGAATCCATGGCTGTGCCCTCTGTGGTCATATCTGGCTTGTCTGTGCTTCTTATAGCCATGGCTTTGCCCAGCTTGTCTGGGTCTGAGGCTATCAAATCCATGACCATGCCTGGCTTGGTTGTCCATACTGTAGTCAGATTCATGGCCGTGCCCGGCTTGATTGTGCCTGCTGTAGCCAAGTTCGTGGCTTTGCCTGACTTGACTATCCCTCCCGAAGACAAGTCTCTGGCTGTGCCCAGCTTGATATCCAGAGCAGGGAACTCTGTGCCTGTGTCCAATCTGGATGTGTTTGGTGTGGCTAAACTGACAGCCAAGCTAGGTCTGTTGGTGGCCACTGTGGCTAAATGACTGGCTGTGTCTGTCTTTGTGTCCACAGCAGTCAAATTCACAGCCTCAGTGGCCCTTTGGAGACGCCCCCGGGGTCTGGGGATCCCCCTGGCTCGGGGCTTGCCTTTTCCTGGAGAAGCTCTGGTAGGCGTGTGGGCAGTCGCTGAGGGAAGGTGCCCCTGGCCCACCAAGCCTGGCTCTCCCAGCACTGGTGTGCTCTGGGCTAACCGGTATTGGAAAGGTAAAGCCAGATAGGAACTCACCAGGGGCTTCTCCGCGGCAGGTATCCTGCTAGATTTGGTCAGACCTGGGTTCTCTGGGCCCTCGGAATGGACCCTGCCCCCTGGCACTAGGGTCACAGGTGGTGAGCCTGGCAAGGACAGCCTACCTCCTTCATGGGGAGCAGCCTTCCTTCCCGGGGTAGGCGACCCTTCCCAGTGAGAAAGTGGGTGATCCAGGGACCGTGCCTGGCTGTTCTGACGGAGCGTCAAGGAGATGGAGCTGAGCTTCCTAGGTACAAGGCTGCTGGTGGGCAGGGGGCTCGAGGAAGCCCCCAGAGCAATGACCATCTCCTGTGAGGGCACACTCTGGGTCCTGGTTCCAAGGCCCGGCCGGCTGGAGGTGTGTGGGATATGGCTTTGGGGGAAGGTGTCCAGATGGATGGTCTTCCTGAGGACAGGGGTGAGCGGGGATCCCCCTCCAGGGAGTCTTGAGGGGCGGGTAGGGCGCCCCAGCACATGGCTATGGGAGAAAGAGGTTCTTGGGCCTGGAGCTCCGTGCGACTGCATCTCTGGAGGAGCAGGAGCAAAGTCGTGGTCCATCCAGGCCGTTTGTCTTTCCCTGAGGCAATCGACAGAGAGAAGGGGCCAGGCAGGGATGAGGAGCTCAGGCCTGGAGCTCTCAGCCTTCCCCTTCCTGACCAGCAGCTGAGCATTGCCAGGTCTAAAGGGGCCTGGTTCTGAGGACCATCCAGTCCTTAGTGGAGGACACATGTAACTTCCTCCAGCCCTCCTACAGCTCCTACCTGCAGCAGACTGACCTGCACCTCATACCCACCGTATCCCTGGCCAGCCACCACACAGCGGGGTGGGC